AGCCTTCCCGATCATGTGTAAATATACCCTGATACTGGGCAGAGGTAATAGTGATCCAGATATGGTGTTGGTAAGCACAGGGAAAAAACACGACACATGTACCTGTGGCTGAAAGTGATCCCTCTATCCAAATTTGACAGTGGTTCTGAGGTCTAGGGGCTCCAAGGGTACGCTCTTGGGGATGTCGACCTAGGTGGCAATCTTCAGACCAGTATACAGGGCGGGTTCTGCTAGAACGAACGAGTCTAGTCACGACCTTGTGGGATCTCAGTAGGATGTGAGGCTAATTACCTCGTTATACATCCACCAAACAGACTTCCCATGTATCCGAATACTGCAAAAAAAAAAAAAAAAAAAAAAAAAAGTATACTATTAACAAACTCCGATTACAATATTTCAGTACGTTTTTTTTAACTCGTATCTCCTTTAATTTTTAATTCTCGTGAAAATAGCCATGGATGGTATTTCATACTGCCCCACAAGCAAAACAAAATAAAACAGAATATCGCATCTCATTTACTCTTGAGAATTCAGCCAAATTACGCAGAGAATTTTAGAAGTGGAATTTCACTTTGTAAAACTTCATCTAGACGCGAACCTATCCTACCATTTTTTTTTTTATTAATTCATTTGCGTAAATAGCCTTAATATTTAATAAAAAGTTAATACATTGCCTCAAATTACAAATATTTTTATTAATAAGGAAATTGGCCTTATCGTTATGCTCATGGTTGATCTGTCCTCAGATGGAAGCCTGAAAAAAATTTTTTTCATGAAATAATGTATTCAAGATCGAGTCTGAATTCTGGAGTCATCCCTATGCTCACGCCTAATTCGTTTCTGTTTTTTCACATGCATTATCAGTGTTATTAATTTACAATTTTCACATGCGTTATTAAAATAATTTTAACGTCAATAGGAAGTTCATTTAAATAAGAGATCTGCACTTCCAAATTTCCAATGCAAGTAACGATGTACTGTACATTATCGTGCATCAGTCTTTTTTTTTTCTAATTGTTCTCTTTTTTTTCATTGAAATACTACAAGAAATTTTTCGCGTTTATTTTTTTTCAAATTTTTTTCTCCGTTTTTTCCAATGATAATTAATTGACGTGTCAAAAAATTTAAATCCTTTTTTTTTAGTTTTCCTTTAGCGTTAGCGTTAGAATTTTATTTAAAATATATTTTTTTTCAACATTAAGGTTTAGGTTTATTGAATCACTTATTATTTTTTTTTTTTTATTTTATATCGACAATCTTTACAAAACACATCTTATTCATAATCTTCCCCTTTCGCTATGTCTAATACAAACTTGCAGGATACTTTCGATAATATAAATATTTCTGTTGGGTATGATGAAGAATTGGAGAGTATAGCCTTCGCTGAAAGTCTCACGTCAGAAAGTGTTGTAGAGAGTGTTGGAAGCGATAATGATGCATTAAATTATGATATAGAAATACCCTTTTTTTTTAATAATGCTAATTTTGAAAGAGCAAGAACATTTATAGAAAAAGATGAGAATAATGATATTTTTTTATTAAATGATAACGATAATACTGATATCAATACTGAAGTAGATATGGACACATCGACATCTTCAATTTTTGATTTTGAGCAATCTACATCGGGATCAACTGATGGAAACGAATATTTTATTATGGATGTATCAAATACTAGTGAATCTTTATCAGAATGTCCAATTTTGGATGTTATTAATGGTTCCATTCAATGCTGCTCAAGTCATTCGCAAAAACAAAGGCCACTTTCCCAACTTATTGGAGCTTGGGAGATTAATTCAGAAATATTTCAAAAAGCTCAATCAAAAGACAATTTGTCAACAATAGGCGTGTGTTATTCTCATTTCCTTTATGATCAAAATCAACTTCATCTTCCAAATGTCAAAAAAATACGTTCAATTGAAAAAGTTGGATTTTTTTTGTCGGCGTTGCTTATTTTGTAATAAGTATAAACATTTTTTTAGTCGGGGTAAAACTTGTATACAGTATTCAAAGAATGTTTTTGGAAAAAATGTGCAAATTCCTTGTGCCGGACTTAGGGTTTGTCCTGTATTTAAACAGGAAATAATGTTAAAAGATGATATTATCGAAAACAATAATCAAGAATCTGAATTCCGACCTAGGTATATATGTTCAGATTGTTTTATTATACATGGTGGGCATTTTTATGAGCGAAGAGGCCACGGAAATGTACCAAATTTTGAATGCATAGATATGCATAAGGATGATACAAGTGAAGCACTTCGACTTATAGGTCGTTGGATTTTATTTATGGCAGAAACAACTGACGAAAATAAAAAAAATAATCTCTTAGAATGTTTAACTACTATGCTTTCAACATTTTACAATACCAAGCCTTCTTCTTCAGCGGTGGTAGATTATCCTAGCCTTCTTTTTATAAAGATTGCTTTGAAGTTAGGACGCGTTAACATATCAAAAATTATAAATCAAAAATTTGATATTACCTCTGAAACAGCTACGGATTTTGGTAGAACTTTGGGAACTGTAACATGGAAAGCACGACATGATGTGCAAAAAAATAAAGCTAAACTTGAAAATCCCATATCATTAATAGAATATCAGAATGGTTTTCCTTTATGTCTGACCAATTTTTTCAATGGATTTATTGAAACATTACAAAAAAAAAAACATGAGATATTAATTAAAAAAAGAAAGCAAAGAGGTCTTCCGTTAAAGAACTTTGATACAAGCTGTGTAAATAAGATTACTGTATTTCTTATTTCAATGATATTAAATATAGCATTTCCAGGTACTAACATTTGGCTAACTCATATTATGAGTTCGCTTTGTCAAAAGCCAAAACTATATCATTCCCTTTATAATATTCTTTGCATAGCAAACGTAGTATCCCATACATATCGACATGAAAAATTGCTAGAAAAGACCCGTCAGCAAGATGTAAAACCAGAAAGTAGATTATTACGAGATACAAATATATGGAATGTATCAGTAATTGATAACATAGATTTTATGGAAAGAACTTATGCATATGGAAATATCTTTGATGCTACACGTAGAAGTACACATGCTACATTAAGGATGGTGTTTCAATTTACTATGCCTATGCAACTTCAATGTTATAATTCTATAGATACGAAAGATTCTAGTAGAAATAATCAATCTATATTTGGTACTTCAGTTTTTACAAATGATCTTCTTTCTCTTTATGAAGAAATGTTTCAGAATTATCTAACTATAAATATAGATAATTGGGATGCAGATAGTATTCTTAAAGACATTGCTCAAAAAATACCAATGGGATGTAATGTGCTAAATCCAAATGTTGTTATACTTGAACCAGGTGATAATCCAAATTGCAATGCGAATGTTCATAATGCATGTGATTTATATTATGATGATGTTGGAATAACTAACACTGGCTGTTTAGATATTGCATGTGACGAAGCAATTTTTTGTCGATTGATTTTGTATAAAGAAAACAATAATGAAAAGATTATTAGACCTCTTCTAGGTCAGTGGCATACTTCTCGTGATATGTGCATTGCATTGATAAATATTTTCTCAGGTTATGGTATTGCCAATATAGCTGCAAAACTTGGAGTCTGATTTTTAGATAAATTAGAAAAAGTAGTAGATTATCAAGCTACCTGTCGCGTTTTAGAATTGATTTGGGTTGCTGTTGGAATAGCAATATTTAAATATTTACATAATAATAATCAAACAATAAATGATATTGAAAGTGGTAATAATAATATTCTTAAAGTTTGGTATCATTATTTGTGTTGGGCTGGTTATTGGATAGGACATAAAATTGGTATTCGATGGGGAAATTATGAAATGCAAATAAAAAATCTTGCAGCATTTTCACCTTTATTTCCAGTTGCTGGAAAGGGTAATTATGCTAGATCAGTAACATATTTTTTGACATATGTAAATGATGATCCACATCTTCAAGAATTGCTTAAACATGTTTGTTCAGTAAATCTTACCAATCCTGGACACTACTTTGCATTTGATGAAGCACTGGAAAGATTTGAAGTCAAATTCGTAAAACAAAATATTGGAGGAAAAACAATGGATAATGAAAAATTAAAGTTACAAATAAGCTCTATACAAACAGAACGAGAAAGATTAGATTTATTAATATCAGAATATATAGGTGATACCGTAATAACTAGAGAAGAACAAGCAATACAATCACGAAAGGAGGTATTATGGCAGTTAGCTAATGAATTACTTTCTGCTTTTTCTTTAGTAGATCCAAAAATGCATGAACTTTTTTTAAATGCACAAGAGATAACTTCAGAAGGATTTTTAAAAATATTTACATGTTATGATCTTGGCATAGCCCGACTTATTGAAATTCAACGTCAGGATGTTTATAAATATGATTCTCGAAATACACGAGGTCGTCGTAAACGTAATGTAATAGTACATAAGTTATCATCTTTAGAAAATCAAATTAAAGTGATAAAAAAACAGCAAATAAGTAATATTTTAATGGGAAATCAATTTGAAAATATGGAACAGCAACAAGAAAATTTGACTGATCATAAACGTCAACGTAGACGTACAACAAATAATGAAAAAATGGTTTTAGAAAACTTACTTAAATTTGATTATTTTCCAGAAGATATGGCTATTGAAGTTTTAAGACAACTTCAAAACTTTAGCAATGATTGGGATATACAACGTGTTCGAATATATTGGAATAATAATAAACGAAAAATTTCTAAATAATATTGATATTTTAAATTTTTTATATATATTATTAACATTAGGTAAATATTGTAATGTTAATTAGCTTATTTATAATAAGAATAAATAAAATATTATAAACTTTTACATATATAATTTTAAGCCTTATAATAATTTATTTTTATTTTAATATTTATTTATTGTTTATAATTAAAAATATATTATAAATCTTTTATCTTTTATATTATATTATCTTTATAAATTTATTTAGTAATAAATAGTAAGTTTAAAATACCAATTTTGAATTATATATAAAGAAATTGTTAAATAATATATAAAATTAGGTATAAGCCTTATATGATTTATAAAAAAAGCATATAAATTAAGTATTATGTATAATTTATCAATATTACAACTTTAATTAATAATAAAAAATAGATTTTAAATGATGATTTTGAGCTATATATTAAAAAACTATTAAAAATATTAAAATTAAGCATAAAAATTAAGCGTAGATCATATCTATTTAATATATAAATATTAAAATTTAGTATTATATGTAAATATATTAGTGTTATAACTTTACTTAGTAATATAAAGTAGCTTTAGAATACCAAATTTGAATTTTAGATAGAATAACTGCAAAATTACTATATTATAAAAGAATTTCTTTTAAAACTTTTATTTGAAGATTCTTTAAAACAATTAGCAGATAAAGTATTAATTAATTAATTTTTAAGAAGAAGAAAATTAAATTATCATAATAATAAAATATTAAAAAATTATACTTATTAGAATATAATCTTAATATATATAATAAAGTTAGTATTTTATTTTTTTATATATATAAAATACTTTTAATCTTACTTTAACATACATTATCTCATTATCTAATGATTAGATTTTGATAATTTTTTTTTTATTAGATTTGTCTCATCAAGTTAAAATAAACGCTAGCTATTTTAATTATTAAATTAGTATTTATTATAATATTATAATTGAAATATTATTTATGTTATCTTATAATCTAATAATTAAATACTAATGCTAATAATTATAAGCTTATTAAATAGATTTTAATAAGATAAGTCTAATGGTTATTATTTCATAAAATTTAAAGCATTAATTTTTGAAATATATTAATTTAAATTTTTTCAAGCAATTGTTAGGACATATCATATGACCGATATGTTATTATATAAATTATGATGATCAGCAAACAAAATACCCTTGCAATTAAAAAAAATTAATTAAGTAAATATA